GGTCAAAGGATCGGCTTCACTTGTCTCTTTGACGAGTTGTTATGTGGTGCTAAGAATGGCGATACTCACTTACGATGCCGACTACGATGCCAGCGAAACGTCTGGGAATGTACCATGTCCACAGTCCTACTCTGAAAATGATGATGCATTCAATGGACTCCGAACTAGGTGCGTTCCTCTAAGTCTTCCTAACAATATGACCATGTTGCGAAAACAAGGTCAAACAACCTCTTTATGACGAAAGGAGACTGCGAACACACAAAAGGCCACACCATCTTGGTCTTCATACCTTTTACTCATATCATTGTGGGAAAATTCTACTACCAGTCCTTTATCACCTTAAACGAAATAGGATGACTACACTTAATATAACTGATTTACTGGTAGCCTCGAAGCTCTGCTGATATACGAAAAACTGGTAATGTAGTGACTAGTGTAGCGATGTTATCACTCCACTTCACAACCACAGGGCAGATGGGACGTTTAACAAAAGCCTGTTCTATAAAAGGGTGTGGGTATCCTACAAAAGAGTAAAGAGTTGCATGCAAATATTACGCCATATGCATAAACACCTCGAAGCATGTGAGTGTGTTTGAATGTGTCTGTTTGTGTGTGATTGTGTGTGTCTGCATGTGTTCGTGTATGCACGAAACCGGCAGTAATAGGTCAAAGTAATTAGAGCAGAAAAGTAAACTCTGTTCCTGGCAATCAAGGTTTGATAGTCACCATCAGCCCCTCCCTCACCATATTTTAATCATCACTCCGATCGCACAAAGTCAGACAAGTCTGGTTATGTTGATGAGCTTTTTGTCTTCATGTGACATATAAGTTGAACTAACCAAATCACTTAATATTTCATCAAAGAGCTTAGATTAAGGTGATATAGGCAGGATTTAGAGACGAGGTAAGGTATAACTGGTGTGAAACTTTTACGGGAATGAAACCCAGCTCGGATGATGTCCATCGAATGATGAACATAAGCTCAGCCCGTTTCCCCCCGAAACGAGGGACGAAATCTCGTGGACTGCGTCAACCGGCTGACGTACAACGCGATTCATCCGTCCTCTTCTGGTGAGATCGACCTAAGAACCTCTTCTTCATGCAGTTTCATGCGAAATGAAAGTCTCCCCAACAAATCGCAAGCAATAATGAAAGAAGGAATAGTGCATGAAAGAGGCTTGAAGATAGTTTGGACGACCGAGGGGAGACAGAGGCAAGCAAGAAGTGACCACAAACTCAGACCCCCAACCGCGAGGCATGTGGACGGCATGATTTACGCCCATGAAATCGCCCTCAGGAGATCAGTGCTGTGAAGTAAGGTCACCGTCCGGCAATTCACAATACAGTCATGTTGACAGACAGACGCGCACACATACCGACTGACATGGAAAAGAGGAAGAGCAGGCCGTATATCTGACGAGAAAGCAGTTTCAAGGCGAAAGTCGACAACCGCAGACCATACGGGTCACCAGAATGCAGAATATTTACAACGTGCCGACACAGTACGGCTCATGTTTATGGGCTTTTTTGAGTTAACGCTCAGCAACAGATACATTTGGACGTGGGAAAAACCTGAGTCGAGGGGGATAAAGTGTGGGGAAGTTGGGAATCTGCCTGTGCCACTAAATGCAACTAAGCAAGAATCGATTAACGAGAGCTCAAGAATCAGAGGATTGGGTTTAAGCCTGTAACCACCCCCAATTGATTCCCATGAATTCCTGGAGAAAACACAAGACAACCGAAGTTTCGTAATCCAAATGACATTTTTCGTGTGAGTATATGTCGAGACTACCAATACTGCTTGAATGATAGTAGAGATTAACTTTAATTATGCAAATAGGTCTTATGAATCCCATCAATTTTAACTAGCCTTGTATGGTGGTTAGGTCCAATTCAAGAATTACTGATTGTTTCACAGATTGATTTGTCTGTTGGTTTCAATGTAGTACCAACATTCCTGTAGTTGAGGCTAAATTGGATATAGAATTGGCATTAGATTAACAAGGGGAGATTTTAATGTTGGTATCCATGCCCAGCCGAGTAGCTGAGCTGCCGGCACCTGAAGTCGTCGCCACGAGCCGACCTGGTGTGACCGCATTCGTCTAATGCGGTCGTGTTGAGCCGTTTCAAAGCGGTCAGTCGCACGATCTGTGGGACGTGAATGTAGGCAATTAGCCGGTCGACATGGCAATCCTGTCGTCTTGAAGGTACTTTATGGCCGGTCCAGCACAGCGTCTGTTGTGTCGTCGGGGCTGAAGGGGAGGGACCAAGTCGCGCCTGCCTATCGGTCCCATAATTGGGCGAATTGTCCCCTTCGGCCGGCCCTCGTCTCTTCAGTCTATTCGGTGGCTCGACGTCCACTCGACAGCGCCAGACCTCAAATGCAGGTCGTCCAGTTGCACAGCATCCGACAGAAATGAGTCTCTCTGTGCATCGGCCCAAGCATACTTGGGAACGACATGGGGACGGACATGGACACATGGAAGCAGGAGCCTTCGGAAGCTTAGGGTGAATTTGCGAATCTGGGAGCCGGCTTTAATTGCTTCAGGACCAGCTAACCAACCATAGCAACATGCACATGCACAGACACACACACACACACACACACACACACAAGTATATTTGTAAGCATAAACAGGCGAAAAGTTGACTTAAGAGGGCGACTGTGGAGAGCTGAATAATGGAGGCAAAAGAAATGCAAACATTGTGAAGCAGAAAAAAGACGACTCGCAACTACACGTGATCATGCAAACAGTTGGACGGAGGGTGAATAAATGTGGCAGGAGCATCGCTGATCAGTGGCCGATGGAGGCGGTGGGATCTGGGCCTAACCTTTTGTCCATGTCAGGACTAAATAGACGCCGATTAGGGCTGGCTGAACAGGTCTTCGAGAAACTGTTCACGTGTCGCTTGCACGTGTTCAGCTGGCTGCAGTTCAGT